GGACAAGACAAACACTTCACCAAAGTCGCCATTGTTTGAGTCTTCTCGAGTCACTACACTGGTTTAATGTAAATAAAGTAGTACATAACAGGTGTTTGTGAGGTTAACTTGTGAAATGTTATCAAGAGAGGCGTAGTTTGTTCACGTAGAGAAGATAGACAGCGTTTACTGTGTTTGTTTTAACACGGGCTTTATAGCATCTGTTACACCGTGAACACAAGGAAACGACTGACGACATTCCCAGCCAAAAACTGGTCACTTATTATTATTGTTGTTGTTGTTGATAGTGACGTCAGCCAGGATAAGGACGTCAGCTGTCGTATCAGTTTCAGAAGCTTAAGAAGAATGTGTACGAAACGCAAGGCAACACAGAGGAAAACAATATTAATAGACAAGGTATAAAGAAAAAACTAAAATGTAATTTTTTTTATATATCTGGCAACGTAAGAGGAAGGGAATAATTTCAGTAACGCCTGCAGGTAGCGTGACGTCATGGAAGGCAGAGCAGAGGTGTTACGAAGACGCCTATGTTAGGCTTTTGGATAAGATCTTTGTCTAAACGCCTGGTGTGGAGACAGGCGCTGTGTGACATTAATTGTTAAATAAGGTCTTATTTACTGTTACTCCCACACACACACAATGTTACTCCCCAACACACGCGCACACACACACACGTTACTCTCCAACACACACACTATGTTACCCCCTCCGCACGCGCACGCCCGCGCGCGCGCGCGCACGCACGCACACACACACACACACACACACAGTTACTCCCTCTCTCCCCCACACACTGTTACTCCCTCTCCCCCCCACACACTATGTTACTCCTTCTCCCCACACACACACACTATATTTACTCCCTCCACACACTATGTTACTCCCTCCCCCCACCTATTACTCCCCTCCCCCCCCCCACATACTCCCTTCTCCCCCACACACACTATTACTCCCTCTCCCCCCCACACTATGTTACTCCCTCTCCCCCCACACACCTGTCTCCCTCTCCCCCACACTATATTTACTCCTTCTCCCCCCACACTCTTCTCCCTCTCCCCCCACACACTATCTTCTCCCTCCCCACACACATATTACTCCCTCTCCCCCACACACTATATACTCTTCTCCCCCCACACACTATAACCTCCCTCTCCCCCCACACACTATATTCTCCCTCCCCCACACACTATGACTCCATCTCCCCCCACACACCTCCCTCTCCCCCCACACACTATGCACTCCTTCTCCCCCACTATGTTCTCCCTCTCCCCCACACACTATGTACTCCTCCCCCACACTTACTCCTCTCCCCACTATATTCTCCCTCTCCCCCACACATATTCTCCCTCTCCCCCACACACTATTCTCCTTCTCCCCCACACACTATAACCTCCCCTCCCCACACACACTATATTCTCCTCCCCCACACACACCTCTTCTCCTCTCCCCCCACACACTATCTTACTCCTCTCCCCCCACACACACACTCTTCTCCCTCTCCCCCACACACACTATATTCTCCCTCCCCCACACACTTACTCCCTCTCCCCACACTGCCTCCCTCTCCCCCACACACTATTACTCCCTCTCCCCCACACTATATTACTCCTCCCCACACACTGTTCTCCCTCTCCCCCCACCCCCTATCCTCCCTCTCCCCCCACACCTCCCTCTCCCCCCACACACTGTTACTCCCACA